CACATTTGGGTTATTGTTCCAATGTAACAGTTTGCAGATATCCAAGCAAAGCTGTCAAATGCCAAGTGCAAATGTTTGAATGGGTGCATCTCTGAGGACACCCAGCAAATCCTGCAAAGGAAAAGAACCTCAATACAGAAAATCTATCAACAAAAACTGCTAAAGCTGCAGTTGAAGCAGATGAAGCCAGAAGTTTACATACACTCAATAAAAATACATTAAATACAGTATTTTGTCCTTCATTGTTTGAAAGGTCTGAAGATGGTTTGCACTCTTTTATGGATGTATTAATAAAATGAGGAATAAATGCTGTACTAGTCTGAAGACTGAAAACTACTCCACTTGTCTGTGGACAGCAGGATTACAGTCTGACAAGACTCTTACACTGCTTTAAAAATGTTTGGCAAATTTGAAGTAGAGGTACACTGTTAAGTAAATGTAGTTCTCTTACTGTAGTTGTACAGAGTAATTTTTAAAAGACAGGTGCTATTGCATATTTGCTTTAGACTCTTCATCAATATATTATGCTGTACGTACTCATGGTGACCCCAGCCCAGCTCTGGTAGGTAGGGCAGCTTCTTGATCCTGATTATGGAGTCGTAGAGTGATGGCTGCAAAGATTGAGCGACGGCATTGGCCAGTATAACAGCTATCATCACCGGCAGGATGTGGGAGATCTGACCAGTCAGTTCAAACACAATGACCGCCGTTGAAACGGTGTGGGTGACCGCTCCTGACAAGGCTGCAGCACCTGTGGATGGGGGAGAACAGCAGAACAGGCAACTCTCAGTGTCATGGTAAGCTCTGGAACACCAGGGGTCGTGTTAACTGAATATTTTCTGAATGGTTTTATGAAATTTTGCTGGAAACCTCGGAAGGCTATGTGTGATCTTGACAAACTGCAATTCAGACCTCTGACCCCTTGGTGCAAACACGTAGATGTTTTCAATTTTACGCACAGAGTACATCGTGGAGGAAACTAAATATATCAATCAATCAAAAAGCTGAATCACCTCTGACCTGAACAACATACTCAATGTATCTCACTATCTGGGAGCTGAGCATGTTGAAGAGGCTTTAGAGTACATCCTGGTTACAGGCTGATGTAGCTGGACTACTTTGTGGACAGGAAGGGCATAATTTAAATGCAATGTTTTAATTTAATTGTTTATATATAGTAATCCGGACGACAGTTGGTTTTTAACATGTGGGTTTTAAACAAGTATTTGTCTACTGAATGTGTGATGGCAGGGTGCGTTATCTGTTCTGAATATTAATTAAGCTGAATGAAAAACAAATGTCATTGAATTTGTCATCATAATTTTAAAAATTGATTTTATAACTGATTTCATTCGACCCCGTCAGTCAAAATGACAGACAACAAAAAAAGCCTGGCACAATCTCTGAGCAGCTCAGCTAAATAAATTCACATTCTTCTCCTACACACCCATAAAGCAGAAATCGACCCACGCATCTAATTTAATACTGGAGGAAATCTCTGCATCAACCTCTTTTTTTTCCCCCTTTCTCAAAAGTGATGTAGAAAGAGTTGTATAAAATCTGGGACTAATCAGATAGAGCAGCATGGTGTGAATGAGTCTTCATACAGAAAGAAAATGGATGAGTCCAATTTAAACAGTGGATAAAAAGAGGAACAGAGGAGAATGAGAGAATTAAAGAGAGAGCAATACGAGGAGAGAATGAACAAACAGATGCTAGATGGGAGAGTTTGCACCAGCAGGTTTCATTGTTCTTTCCCATAACTTAATTAGGCCTTGTCCGCCTCCCTCCCCTCAGATAAATGCTGCTGCTGCTCTCCACCCGTCCTAATGCTCAGTCCTTAGAGCGAGCTCTGCTGTGAGATGAAAGAGGCTCATCAGAATGTCGGGACTGCAAAGGGCTGAGTCATCAGCTACAGCACAGCACAACAGCATCAGCAAGCCCAGAAAAAAAAAGGAAAACAGCAGGCGCCGAGGCTGCAGCAGAGGCATAATCAGCACTGCTGTCAACAAGTAGGACTGCAGCGACACTGGATCTCACATGCGCAACTTTAAGAAATATTGTGGATGTGTAATCACTGTTAAAAAAAAAAAAAAAAGAAAAACAAATCATTTTTACCACTCATCTACAGTATATAAAAAAACCTATTGAATCTTTACTAATAAAGTTCACCAACAAGTGATGATTGTGTTATAATTAACCTCTTTCAAAAAAGTACTTTTGCATTCGGTTGATTTTGTTGGGTCATTTTTGTTTCCATTATGTTCAACTCTGATAACTTTTTCAGGTTATTTATTTGTGGTGAATTAGAAAGTTTTGGTCTTGAGATGGGAACTCAAACCTAATAAGAATAAAACTACATGAATGCTACAAATACACAAAATCAGACATTCATACTTATTCAAAAGCATAACCAGAAAGAAAAGAAGAAAAAAAAGTTATCTGGTAATAAATTAATGAGTGCTCAACATACCCACAATAGCGTAGCCTCCTGGCAATATGGGATAGATGGATCCATCAGAGTGAATGCCATCTGGGAACCAGGCTGCCATGCTTTCTCCAACCAGACGACCAAACGCTGCTCCTACAATAGCCAAACCACAGGGACACAGGGATGAAGAAACAAACAGTCAGACCTCGGGTTTCTCCCTACATGTAGAGAAGTAATAAACCTAAATTTCTGTACAATGGAAACTATAAATACTACATTTAACACATTCCATTCTGCAGTGCTGCATCTCCCCTAGGAGAGTTACAACAGGAGTGAAAGGTGTAGATTTAGGTGTAAAATAATTCTGCAAGGCACTGACTGCTACAACTGAGGTACAAAGATAAGACTATAAACCCCATCTGATGGATGTAGGAGGCTTACGTTGGTGGCAGAGGCTGCGCTAGACTTTTTTGTTCTCCATCATTTTGACCGACAACATAAAGCAAAAAAAAAAAAAAAAATCGGTCATGTACTATTTTTATCCATCATATTATAATCATATTAACATCAGCTATTCAGGCGCATTTTAGTTAATATTCACCGTGAATCCAGATCCCATCACAAATT